TCAACTGTTTGTTTACCAACATTCTTAAATACCTTCTTTATGTTCCTCAGAAGAAAGTCAGTCACACAGGTTTGGAACAACTGGAGGGTGAGTAAATGATGATAGAAATTTCATTTTTAGGTGAACTATCCAATTAAAGTCAGGGAAGATTTTTCATTCATCTGTTCCCCCATCCAAAACCACACACACAAAAAAAGTAGTTCCAGGGAAAGACACACCAATGAAATATGGAATGAGAGCTATGACATATGTGACCCTGGACCACAAAATCAGTCATAAGGGTCAAATTATTATTATTTTTTTAAAATTGAGATTTATATGATATTTATGAATAAATCAGCTTTCCATTGATGTATGGTTTGTTAGGATAGGACAATATTTAGCCGAGATAGTGTGTTCAGATGTGTGCAGCACATTTTATAGAGGACTGTTTCCTGGTAGAGTAGACTACAATGCTGGCTGTTCTGATTCACAGACTGTAAGTACGTTTTTTTATATTTAAAGAATTTGCCACTGACGATTCAAAAGTGAGTTTTGAGCAGTGTAGAGTATCGCTTGTTGTTTGTCATTTCTCCGATCACAAATGCAGACATGGTTTTATGTTTACGCGGTTACGGTGCATCGCGTAAAAAGACAGTGCAAGCCATTATAATCCGTAATTATGTCCCCACTGGATGCAACAAATACCTCGTTTATAATGGGTTTTAATGTTTTTGTCTCGTCGCTCCGGCCGGGACACGGCATCACAGTATGGTGAGGGGCATAACATTTCCTCACACGCTTGAGATATTCGGCCAATCACAACGCACTGGATCGCTGGCCAATCAGAGCACACCTCGCTTTTCAGACCGATGAGCTTTGTAAAAATTGACGCGTTTCAGAAAGGCGGGGCATAGAAGAGAAACAATAATGTACAGTATGTGGAAAATAATGTGTTTTTTGAACCTTAAACCGCATAAACACATTTCATTACACCAAATACACAAAATAATGTTATTTTTAGCAACATCATATGACCCCTTTAATATCCTAATGATTTTTAAAGAAAAAATAGATAATTTTGACCCATAAAATGTTTTTTTGGCTATTGCTACAAATATACCCCAGCGACTTAAGACTGGTTTTGTGGTCCAAGGTCACATATGAATGAAGCTGTTTGAAATGTTTATCAAGGAGTAATGCTTTACAATTTTGTTTACTAATTTTTAATAAAACACTAGCTTACAGTAAGTAGTAAAGCTAGTGTTCCATTACGAGCATCTTTTGAACTTCCTGTTGGGCAAATGCATCTTTATTAGGCAGAAACTTAATTTCCAGCAATTCAATTTGCGCTTTGCTATGATCACAGTAATTTGCTTCTTACATGTCCTCTTCAAACAGACTCGACATTAATATTCAGCGGCTCCTGATCGCAGAGGGTGATTAACAATTTTTTTAATTGGCTTTTATGAATCTTAAAAGCGTTGTGTGGGGGGAAGAATGTAACTTTGGCTTGGTCATGAATTAAACATGTAACACTACCGTAAACAATTCAGTACATGAACTATCAACACAAACGTCAAGCAGGACAACAGCACAGCAATGAAACAAAAGAATCAACATTAACAGGGCAAGAAAATAGATCCACCAAAATCGGACTTTAACATTGGATATGCACAGGGCTCCAGACAAGAAGGAGCCATTGGCTCCTATAAGTAACAAAAATAGGCGCCAAATTAGTTTTTTAAGTGCCACAGAATAAATGTGTTTAATTTTTTTTTTAAAACACCTTAACATTTCAGTCATACTGTTATGCGTTTATGGTTTTAAGGTTCACTTAAAGTGGGAACTAAACGTCTTTTCCAACTTGAGAACTATAAACAGTCAGAAAGAATTGTTTATTACACAGAATCTGTGCCAATATCATGGACCATAATTATGTCAGCATCACTTGGCCATTGAGTGTAGTTTGGGCTCCTCCTCAATGCATCCTATAAATGCTGTCATAGTCTTGCACACCTTAAGTCTTACTTCATTAGTAACATGCAATTATATAGGAGGTGTTGAATTTTGTCTTTAGCTCCTTGCATTCTTTCTTATCGTGTAGACAACAGGTTAAGTAAAAATATGAATATGCAATATAGCGCATAAATTTAGCAAAATGCTCCTCTTTATAGTTATTTTTTCTAGATTATTCTGAGGTAAATGATTGTTAGGTGGCATTGTTTACAAGCTTTACTCATTTTCTGCAGTCTGAAAAATTGAATGAGCGATTACATGAGATATTTCATTAAACTGTACTGTAGTCTATCTATCTTATAATATACCTTTTGATGTGCATTCATGTTTATGTTGTACTATAGCAGTAAAGAGAAAGATATGATGGGTTCACGTGCCGCTTGAACTGAGGCACTAATGCGATCGCTCATGCCACATTAAAGAGCGCCAAAGCGGTATTGCTTGAATTTCGTTATGAATTTGGCAGAACTTTGAAGCTGATACTTTGTTTATTAAAAGATAACAGAGCACAAAGCTTATTACGATTATTGGACAGCAAGTGCGCTACAAATAATATGAAGTTCACGCATTAACAGAACACAGCATATAGATTATGCCATATTAGTATGGATTATAAATGAGAATTGTTAACGATATTGTTAATGTCCACACAGCTGACAGCTTTACCTGTTGTATTTTGTTTAAGTTGTGCACGAAATAGACACTTTTTTTCTGCAGTTTTACTTCGCACGTCTCTGTCATTTTCGATCTCTCTCATGCTGCACAACTGGAGCTGCTTTTAGCAGGTTAATTATTTATTACATCAATAATAAATATGATTATTTATTAGTTATTACGTTAACTTAACAAAAGATGTGATCGCAAAACAAGCAGGAAAAAAGGCATCTCATGCACATTTTTAAGTCATAACATGTAAATTTCTATAGTCGCCAGTGGCGATCTCAACAAAAATATCACTCGCAAATTAATATTTTTGGTCGCAAATGCGACCGTTTTCGTCCTGTATGCAGCACAGAAAAGAACCACAACTGCAAAGAAACTGTATGCCATAAACTCAAATTACATACTTAAATAGCTGAAAAATCAGTATTACCATCACAGGAATAAATTAAACTTTAAAATATATTCAAATAGAAATTAGTGTAATAATATTTCACAACAATACTGTTTTTACTGCATTGTTTTACCAAATAAATACAGCCTTGGTGAGCAATTTTCTTTCAAAAACAAAAAAATGTAATGAAACAAACAAAAAACTTTCCAAAGGGAAAGTGCATATAAAATGATATTTACCTTTATTTAGAGTATATATAAGGTTCCCAATAACAACCGTGCTTGCATCTGTGCAATGTATTTCCTTTTGTATTGTGTTTCTAAGTTAGACATTAGGGCTGCACGATATATCGAAATTATCGAAATATCGCAAATGTAAATATCGCAATATGCAATAGTACCCGTCTCGACGATCATTCTCGTAAATTGCGGTTGTGTTAAATGAATGTAAACAGCTGAGAAAGAAATCAGATGTGTATCATTATACTGGATCCGTGCAGTTGGATTTAAAGGGACAGCAGCCTATAAATACGTGCTGCTGAATATGTCACTAATGTTAATCAAACAACAAAACAGCTATAACAAAGATTAATCTAAATTTAATTCATACAGTGAACACAACGCAGTGTTATTTTACACTTAATTATTAAATTTCTGTGCCTGAATACTACAGCTTATTTTATCTATGCTTGTAAATTGCGTATTTCTTTTTTTTCTTTTTCTTTCTTTTTTTTTACTGACAGTTCACTTGCCTTTAATACATGTTTGAACTTTCTCAGACTATAGGTTTTGCTGTGGTATATGAAGAAGTACTTAAAGTGTGTGGAAAGCAAAGTTACAATGATATAAAATTAGTGTCATAATTTTTTTGTTTGTATGTTCACTTTGATGTTAAAATGACATTTTCTGATTTGTGACATTACTTTTTATGTAATGCTAAAACACTGCTGGTCACTTTCAGAAGTTATAGTGATTCTTTATTTTCCAAGAAAGAATGTGAAACAAATTTGGTTATATCATTTTCATTTTTAAATATTTTTAAATATAATTGAAATTGATTTTACACACTTTAAGCAATATCGTATCGCATATCGCATTTTTTAACAAGGTATCGCATATCGCATTTTTCTTCAATATCGAACAGCCCTTCTGTCTATCTATCGTTCTATCATTCTATCTATCATTCTATCTATCTATCTATCTTCTTTCTTTTTTTTTACTGACTGTTCACTTGCCTTTAATCATGTTTGAACTTTCTCAGACTATAGTTTTTGCTGTGGTATATGAAGAAGTACTTCAAGTGTGTGGAAAGCAAAGTTACAATGATATAAAATTAGTGTCATTAATTTTTTGTGTTCACATTGATGTTAAATGTTAAATTTCATTTTCTGATTTGTGACATTACTTTTAATGTAATGCTAAAACACTGCTGGTCACTTTCAGAAGTTGTAGTGATTCTTTCTTTTCCAAGAAAGAATGTGAAACAAATTGGTTATATAATTTTTTTAATATTTTAAAATATAATTGAAATTGATTTTACACACTTTAAGCAATATCGTATCGCATATCGAATATCACATTTTTTAACAAGGTATCGCATTTTTCTTCAATATCGCACAGCCCTATTAGACATAAATACATACTTAAAATGTGGGTGTGTCTTCCAACTTCACCATATTCTGGAGACAAATCTGTACTAAGAAGTTAACTAAATCTAACAAAATGTCTTTTTGGACATGTCTTCATTTGCTAAAATGGTATAAAAATGAAGTGAATCATGTTTTTTATTGTTAAAATGTAGAATGCTTTCTGTTGAGGTCAGGGTTAGGGTGTCGGTTAGGTTATAGTATTTATAACTACAACTAGCATATAAAAACATCTGAAGTCCATGCAATGTCCTCATTTAGCTAAGAAAATGTTTATGTACTGTATGTGTGTGTGTGTTTAACCTCTTTGTCCATGCTGTCCAGGTCTTCTTTGCAGAGTGTGTAGAGCGGCATGGTTTCAGACATGCTGGGCTGGCGTTTCCTGCGGGAAGGTCCAGGCTGCTCATCGTCAGGACTCGATCCTGCAGCCTCATCCGTCTGCTGAGACCCCTGAGCTGACCTGAGCAAACACAGAAACAATCAATCGCTCAACACACACACTCCAGATCAGCGGCTGCTGTAATCAGTCTCCAAGTGAAATATGTATATCAAGCAAAACTGGCTGAGTTTGCTCTGACAGAGCAGCAAAGCAGGACAGCGGCTCTCCTGGTCTGAGCAACACCCGAATAAGCAATCAAGAGCAAATCAAGAAATAAAACCCACACACACACATACACGCACACACACACTGCACAAGCCTGTCCACAGCAGACAGCAAACATTCAATCACATCTCCACTTCTGTCAAGAGGAGCCACAACATGATAATCATGATAATTCTGCACAGGGAAGCAGAATTACATGTGCTCCTGCAGTCTTTTTGAACAAAGGTTTAAACAAGCATTTTTAAATCAATGAGTTCTAAAAAAAAAAATCTGCATATGATTTTTGAAATCCGGCGTCTGTTCTGACCTGGTAGAATGTAAGTCATAGATTACTATTTTGTCGAATAAAACCATATTTTATCTGCTCAATGACTTCTCATTAATGAGTGAAAGCAGGAACATTTCAGAGTTTTGAATGTTACAGTGTTATTACTACATTTCTGCCCCATTCTATAAAAAAAAAATGAAATTTCGCATTTCTAAAACTACTGAAAAAAACCACTGTGATGAAGGAAGAAATTATATTCATTTATAAATGTAATTTCAATATACATTTATATGATATTTATAAAATACAAATAACCTGAGAATTACTAGTATTAACTACACTGAAATAAATGCATTTAATTACATTCCTTTGAATTTATAATTCATGACTGCTCAAAAATTCATGAAAACTACAAATTAATTTTCTAACAAAACATAAATATCACTCTGGATGTTTTTAAACAAAATATATTAATTTTACCTGCATAAACTTTCACTTTCATTCTTCACGCAGCAATGGTTCATCAATAAACATGCATCAACTAAATTTAGTCACAAAAAGTGTGTGTGAGATATAGGAAAATATATATATACATTTTTTTTTTTTAAATAGACAACTTATTCACAGATGTGGGGGAAAAATCTGCATAACACCATGTGTAAATAGTTGATACCCAGGTCAAAATAGACCCAAATGAAAAAAAAAGAAAAAAGAAGTCATTATCTCTTAACATTTAAAAAAAAAAATCTACACAAATATACAGCACTCCTGTTAAGCACAAAGTCTGTTATAGGTGAGGGCGCAGACATCGATTCACACAATCTCTCATTTTGTTTCATTTCATACTCAGAGTAACAGAAGACCTAGATGCATAATGCAGACTCGCAACACTCAGCAGCAGTGTCATCTTGGAAAGGTCAACATGTCAGGTCAAGTTCATCAGAAATCATCACTAGCCAACTTACTGTCATTGCATTGACAAAACACTGTCTGTACTGTTTTGTACTGTTGTACAAAACAGCAAGACAAAAAGAAAAAAAAAAACTTTCAGAGTGTAGAGAATGTACACAAATATAACATGGTAATTAGCAACAAGTCGTTTATGCAGCATATCTATGCTTTGAAACATCCAATCAAACGTTTAACTTAAGAGCTGTGGACGGCTCAATGGTTTCCGTAGGAACTGAACCCAAAAAGTACTGCTGTCAAACGATTAATCGCATCCAAAATAAAAGTTTGTTTACATAATATATGTGATGAACGTGTGTGTATTTATATATACATAATAAATAAACACAATACACACTAGTGCTGTGTTCAAAATATCGATACGACGATGTATCGTCAGAGAGATTTGACGATACGAGTATCGATACAGCTGGCCCTGTATCGATATTGTGGCACGTGTGCAGCAGTGGACCGCGCTTAATTTGTTTAAAATTTTACAACGTTTAAAATTGAGTAGAAAAGAGCGATGTTTCTAAAAAAGAATGAATAGAGCATATATATATAGGCTACAACAAGGTTTAATCTGGCCGCAGAGGAACACAACTGGGTTGCTTGATATAAAGAGACGTAATCCCCTAAACAGAGCTTTACACTTCCGCAATACGGAAATATCAGCTAAGTGTGCTACTTATCTTTGTCAACCTGGCAACCATGTGCACACGGTCTCTCTCCACTGAGGATAAACGCGCATGCTTTCTGAAAACAGCGGTTAGCTTGCAGTTTAGCGATCTCCACTTCAATATTCTATTCTCAGAAAAGTGCAATTCATCAACGGTTCATTTACGACACAGAGAGAGAGAGAGAGAGACTGTGTATGTATGAATTACCACCATTTTGCCGCGTTTCTCTATTAACAGTAAAGCTGTGGCTTTAATTCCTTTAGAAACAACGATGTTACCAGCTCCTTGTTGAGAAAGATAATGCAGCTCTTGAGCGTTTAAGCTATTTAGTTGATAAAACTGCGGGGCAGCGCTAAAAAGTTTGTTCCTGAATGTCTGAGTGCGGCCGCAACGTGATCTGTGTGTGTGACTGAACTTAACATTAAAGGCAGGGTATGTGATTTTTCAAAAACACTTTAGAAAACTGATTCGG